CGGAGCTTGAGCTTCTTTCTCGTCGCTTTCGCTTCGTCGGCCCCCACTTGGCGCTGAAAATGTATTCAAATCGTATACCCCCTGCTCGCTCCCGTCTACCATCAATTTATTAAATGGAGAGATTGCAAATTTCGCCGGGCTAGACTAATGGCGCGGAGGTGCCAGGGTCAATCTGAGGCTAATCAAATCATGCCGCCGCTCTCCACGGGGCGCCTTGCGCGATGCTTTATCAATCCCATCGCTCGAGGGGTCCACGCAATCACGACGCGCAAATACTTGTGTGCGCCAAGTGTTCCTCGATGATGGACCGCGCTCGACGCCATTAGCGACCTCGTATTTTGACGGAAAAATTATGGAAATTACATATCTGCCGAGGGAGTAGATTAATGGCCCGCACACAAGCACGCAAGTGCCGCAGTCAATGGGAGATGGATACTCGCTCGAGTGATTGAATGAGCAGCGCAATATGTACGAGCAAACAGCAGCGATCCATGCTCCGTTGACCGCTGCTCCTCTGCACTGGGCTTACTTATTGCCGATTAAATCTTTAATGCAAAGTCTACCCGCCAGCCAACTCGAAAAACTACGGTCTATTCACGACGTCCTATGCTCACGTAACGTCGAGCCTTATTACTGTTTTCAAACAGTAATAACTTGTGTTATTTCTCACATATTCTCATAGGTGTCAAATCAATCTGCAGTCACAGCCCATAACCGTCTCTTTACAGTGTCATCTTTTTCATCAACTAAATGGCAAATCAATTTCCATTATCACTCTTCTAACAATTATAATCTGATTTTTGAAATTAAATCTTCCGATACGTAGCTTCAAACCATCAATCGTTCATTGTATCAACCAATTCCTTCAATTTCGCACTGTAAATAAAAACTTTACCAGATCATTTGGTTGGGTCGTTCCTTATACACGAATTCAATACGATTTTCTACTTCTACTTACAGTAATGCTACAATTTATAGAAAATAACAACATAAGTCTCTATACATGTATCGTTTTATTTAATTTCAGAAAATTCATGACCGGCGACAATCAGTTCAGCAAAGCCTTGTAATGCATCTTATAATCGGATTTTTAAAGAGTAAGGCTCCATTTCGAACTTGTTTTCTCAATAATTTCATTAACTTAATTTGAGTAATTCTGAACACTCAATTTCATCAGTTCAATCAAATGTTCTTCTATCAAAATTAAAAACAAAATAATGTATTTGTTGACCATACAGTCGGTTAAAAAGACGTCCAAGTTTCATAAGTTTATGACAAACTCGCGAGTTACATAAGTAATTTAATAATAATAATTTATGAATCATATAAATAAATATTACAACAATATTATCATCAAACATTAAGGTAGAAAATTGCCTGTGTGTGGCTATCGTACATTCTATTTCTACAAACTATTTATGAATTATCTTATGAACTAGTGTCTCTTGTTTACAATATTGCAATATACATAGATGTTATTAATTTTTTCGATATATTCATTCTATAAGATTTAAAAATTTTAAAATAGAATAGATTAACATTATTAATCGTACATCAGTCGTACATCGCGTTAAGATATTTCGGCATCTTAGTATTTTCTTAGTTTTTTCTTAAGTATATATATTTTGTGTTTAATTTTTCCGTTTATTATATTAAAATTTATTGAAAATGCTATGGTTTTATAATTTTTCAATTTAACTGTTATGTTAACATTAGGCAAAATGACTTTATCTGTCATGACAATTTCAATTATTGTTAAAAAGGATACTCGTTATCTCGCTTGCTATTTAAGAATTGTGAATACTTTGTTTTGATTGCTCGTTTCTATGTGTACTGCCCTTATATAATAATTTCATGCTTTGGAATAATGCACGGCAGATTGTTAATAATGCTTTAGTATATAAAACCATCTGGTAGTTTTTAATGTTTCGATGAGGTATCATGGAACAGGAAATCAAGTTTACAACTCACTGCGAATGATAACGCACAGTTTCGGAGTTATCAGAATCGTATTGGGCTGATGTGCGTCGTTTGCCAACGAGTAGCTTGGCAACGAAAACGAAGAATTTAATTCAACAGGTTAATTTTTGAAAATGTATCGTCAGCTATCTATTCGGCAAAGCCGTTGGCCATTACGCATTTGTTCGTCAGCTTCTAGATGTAGTAGGTATAGATAAGCGTGGGCAGCCTCGCGGCGCCACATCGCATATTGATTGACGCCACGAGGTCGTTCGGCAAGAAAGCCGAACGTAGAGGGAGGCAGAGGGAAAGGGAGAGAGGCGCGCGCGGATGATAAAGGCAAGAGATAGCGAGGGGTGTAATGAAGCGGCGCTCGCTTGGCAGGCGCGTAGAGGCGCAGAGGCGCAGAGGCGCAGAGGCGGCGGCAGACAGCGAGGCCATGAATATTCATAATCTAATACCTGGAGCTGAACCGAGCCGAGGCGGAGCCAAGTTGTCATCATCTAGGCCTCGCTCTCCCATATTAGAAGATCCGCGCGCGCGCGCGCGCGCGAGCTACCAAGATAGTCTCCAACGGGAGGCTGCGTCGATCTTGAGATCGAGGCGCTCGCCTGGCTTGGGCGTGGTGCCGCCGGCGCCGCTGGCGAGGGGCAGCGCCGGTCGCGGGTCCACTTGGAATGGACTTTCGTTGCTGCGAGCGAGCCCCGGGCGCGACAGTTTTCCCGTTTTATTCGAACGACGATCGGCACTCGTGGCGCGCTCGCGAGACGCGCTCGTGAGACGGGTCCGGCTCCGCGGAACAGCGAAAGACCAAGAGCACGTATCCTCGCCTGCAGATATTTTCCAAGTCGGCCGTGAGCGTCGCCGCATTAGCATCTGAAAGCCGACTAGGCGCTGCAGCGCCAGCGCAGACCGAAACATACCTATGTGTGCGTAGGTCGGAGCGGCTTATACAGATATAGCGAGCCCCGTCGCCGGCACGCTCGGCGTCGCGCCATATCCCCGGCGATATTGCCGTTTTATGATAATGTTATCAGCGCTTGCGCACATCCAGCATACGCGCACACCCTCCCCGTACGTCCGCGTAGCTTCCGTCAAACCTGGGATTTAGCGATCCGCCGGGAGATTTATGAGGGCTACGCTGATTGCACGCTCGCACTGCCATCATTCCTCTCTCTCTCTCTCTCTCTCTCTCCTGCTTTTTCCCTTCTCTCTCGCGTCTCCGCGTCTCCGCGTCTCCGCGTCTCCGCGTCTCCGCGCGAAGCGAAAGCCAAATCTCCCGGATATTGTCGGAGAGATGAGGACGCGCGCTTCGTCTTGTTTCTTTCGTTCGCGCGAGCGCGGCTCGTAAGAAAAGCCACTGACCACTTGGTTTCCCGCGCGAGGCAGCCGAGAGTCTTCGCAAGAAAGTTGGGAGCAAAGTGGATGTGCCGCGGGAGAGCGCGCTCCCTGAATGTGACGTTGAAAAAGGGCCGGCTCGTTACGCGCAAACCAGACAAATTCTTGCGGCTTCGAGCCACTTTCCGCAAGGGTAAACATAAACAGAGCATCTCTCTGCCGCTGCTGTCTTATAAAGTATTCGCAAAGCGAGAGGGGGCTCGACGGCTCATCTATATATACATATCCATGGCTTTTGCCTCGTCAACGGGTTAAGTCATCGTCGTAGTCGTCGCGAGGGAGAGCTAAAAGCTCCGGCTCCGGCTCCGGCTCCGACTTTTCATGTAGAGACAAAGAGAGACAGGTAAACAAAGAGAGCGCGCCCGCGAGAGAGCGAGATGAGAAATGGATGGAAAACGCGATAGGTGAAGGATTGAAGTTTGTTCAAGTAAATTATATTCAGTCGACGAATGCCAAAACACGCAAATTACAGCGAGCTCGCTAGCTCTGTGCGTTTTAACTCTGTCTCTCTCTCTCTCTCTCTCTCTCTCTCTATCATGAATTATTAATTAATTGTTTCAACTGACGTCGGGCGTCGTTTATTATTCAACTGCGTCGTCGTCGCGGGCGCACCGTCGTGCACTCCGAATGGATATCGCTCTCTCTCTCTCTCTCTCGCAGAATAATCATTATCGAAGCTCGTCTGATGAAAGTGCCGAGTGCGCGGGGCTTTTATTGGAAAATCTCGAGTACCGACTGCGCATGAATTCGATGCATATGAATCCTTCGCCCTCCGTGCGACTAACTGCAATGAAAACTTGTTTGGAACCCAATTGTACTAGAGAATTATACAGCCTGCATACACATTCAAGTTTTACCTCTGGCTAGAAACTGTACAATGATTTTCATTTATCGTTCAACATTATCAAGTGGGTTTTTATTCATAAAATTCGAGGTTCCCCATTCGACGATAGCGGAAATTCTTGTGACCGCGAATGAGTTTCGATGACAAATAGATTCATTTAATTTTTTTGACCATTCAAATCAAACAAACTGTTATTTTGCCATACTACCTGAATGTTTGATATTGTCAAAGACAAAGACATAGTTATTGTAAAATAATGCATTTTTAGTACTTTACGAAAAACATCTATGTTCTTTACTACTTCTACTTTTTTTACCATCGTGATTAAATTTTATCTTCTTATTTTTAATAAATATCGATGGTATATTTTGAAATTCGTGACTAGGTAAATTCCTATCGTAAACAGTATCTTAAAAATTATAATTCTACGTTGGTTTTTAAAATAAAAATAAAAAATTTCTACATTACAAATGTAAATGTTCTAAAAAGAATTCGATTGAATCTTCAATTGAACAATCACAAATTTCAAAGAAAACTTTGATTCTTCGTTTATATTGTCGTAAGCGAGAGTTCTTATGTAACTTTCAGAAATCGTTTATAAACTTAAAAGTGACAAATTATATTTTTACTACTAGTACTTAAATCTATACAAGGTACAAATTGATAGGTATAGACGATACTTTAACTGTCAGTATTTAGTTTTAATTGAAAATAACTCCGATGTAAATTGTCGAGTTATGCGAAATAAAAAAATTTGAAATTATCTCGGCCCTTCGATAATTTAAAAATTTGAACTCAATACATTATACTGTTCGTCAAAAGTTTATTTGAACTTCTTTATTATATGTTCACAAACAAAATTACAATTTAGATTTTGTTTCCCATTAAGTTGTCAAATTTAATATGGACATGATGGATCTTCCAATTCATCTGAATTGATAGCATAGCTAACAATATTGAGGTCTTCAGAATTTCCTTCAGCGTTTGGTGTCATGCAATTTTCAGTAGGAGTTATTACTTTTGAACTTACTGAATTCGTTATGTCAGATTTCAAGAGCTTGACAAATTCGATAGCGTCCATTTTATCCAAATCAGTACGAAGATTATTTACAATGTCAGTCAAACGTTGTAGTTTACTGGCGTAGTTTGTAAGAGTGTAGCAATGTTCGCGGTTTCTTGTTTCACATAAGTTCTTGTAATATGACATTTTACTTTCTATATTTTTTGCAACCTAGTTTAAAAGTCATAATAACATGTTGAAAGTTGTAGTCATATGGAAATTATAATAATAATTTTTAATGGATAATTTACATTCATAGCGATCCCAATTTTTCTATTTAGATCTCTAATGTTAGATTCTTCCACTAGCAATCTTTCATAGAATGAAGTTTTTGTAAACAACTTGACTTTATCGTCTAATAATACCAAACACCGGTCCATGTGTTTATCTTGTAATTTTTTCTGTATTGATATTGAAAGTGAGTATAGCATATTATTTTTGAAAATCAAAGTTTAAAATAATGAAAAAAATTGTACCTGGAGTTCAGATACTGAAGTCATATTGTATATCTTTGCACGAAATGACGATAGCGCTTTAGTATAAAGGTCATTGAATTTCAATTCGAAGTCCGAATGCAGCTGTGTCAAGTTTTTCTTTAAATGTTCAGCTACAGATAATGAACTATCTGCTAACAGATCTGTAGACTAAAATTTAGAGAAAGAAACATCCCATTTAATTGTTTATTAATTTTCAAACGAAAGAAACCATAATTTTGGCATATTTACCTGAATTTGTGATACTCCTGCAAGCAAATAAAATACTATTGTATAGAGACACATATTTGGAAAAAGAATAAAAGTTTTTAAAGTGTTAAAATCTTATGAAAAACAGTGACTACTGTTTGCTTGTCAAATTGAAAATGGTAAGTTAACGTACATTTATTACAATCGTGGTTGAGTTTTACTTTCTTGTTTTTAACGAAATTTTATCGGTAATATAATTTATTTTGGGCAAAGAAACATTATTGTCACGTGGAAAATGTAGATAAAATAAAAAAATGTAGTTTCCGAATTGTTTAGAGTTTACAGCAGAACCAATTTCTTAATGTATTTTTACAGATCTTCAATCGATTGATTTTATACGCATAGTATAAAACACCAATGCATCGATGGCACAGCGAGGAATTTCATTGAAAAATCTTGCTTCAAATCTTTCTTCAAATTTATCTACGACCTTCAAAATGTCACGCGCTATTCGTGCGTTACGCGAAATAAAGATAAAGTAGCTGAAGTAATGAGTCGCTCGACGAGCGATAAATGAAATTTTATTTTTTCTTTCAAGAATATCGATTGTACGTCTAGCTGAATTTGATTGAAAAAAAGAGGGAGGGATGCGCAAAGAAAAGGTCCGGTAAAAAGCCTCTTTTCGGCGTAGGAGCAAGAGAGTTCGAATATCCGCTGGATATACATTATACAGCCAGGGCCCGCGGTTGACATTTACCCACTCAAATTGAATTTCAGAAAGGGTTTGAAATTTGTTTTCCAGAAACGTCGGGTGGCGGCGAACGAGCGACAGAACGAGATCGAGAGAGAGAGAGAGAGAGAGAGAGAGAGAGAGAGAGAGAGAGAGAGAGAGAGAGAGAGAGAGAGAGAGAGAGAGAGAGGCTAGTGTAAACTTGCGGCTCCGCATGCGCACCGCCCGACAAATTAATATTTACCTACTCTTGGAGGGGGTGCAGGTGGGGGTGGCAGTTCCCTCACTCGCGTATTAATGGATTGCGCTGAATGGCGGTGGCGGCAACGGCGCTGCTGATCGTCAGACACGCAAGCCGCAAACTTTGATAACGTAAGCACCAGCCAATTTCCGGTTGCGGCCTGCCGGCTGCCTATCCACTCGCCTCCAGCATGATCGTCGAATCAAGGCTATACGCTAATTTGCCTACATGTTAGTTCGACCCGCGCCACGGGCTTATATTAATACAAGTTCCGAGCGGCAAGCGCTGATTGCTTGCAGACTGGCTTATTAAGATGTCAGTTTTGCCGGATTGGCTCGAGCTTCAGAACTGATTTGATAATAAGGTCGAACTGCACGAAAGCAGGTGCAGTGGCGCAATTCTTTTCAATGAGTTGTCTTTCTCAGCCAAGTTTTTCGCAATCAATCAATCAGCAATGTCCAGCTTACTTTCGACGCGTGAAAATCAGCAGGTAACATGTAGATTTGAAAAATACCAACGCAAAAGCTGAGAAGTTCTGAGAAAGTTTACTCTTCGACTGCGTGCTCAAAAAATAAAAGCGTCGAAGCAGCTTAAATCTGCAGGCAACAATCATCAAACCTGAAATCCAAACGAATCGGACAACGTCGCTTATAACTGAAAGCTCATTTCCCTCGCAGCTTAACTCACGGGGGACGACGAAAAGTTAGCTGCGCGCTCGTTGGCTAATTTCGCAAATAAATCCTATTACGCGCCGCGCGCGATTAGATTTTTTTTGCAGGTAGCTTCCCCGTCCGAAGCGGACGGACTGACGGTGAATCGCGTGACGTTGGGTTATGAGCGAGAGACCGCGTGCACCTGTCCGCGTACGTTTCTTCACGTGATCCAAGCCATTACGCCAAACACTTAATTATGATATCGCTGCAACTACTCCGTTCTAAATTGAAATCGACTCGGTGCTTGTACTATAATGCCGAGGCTTGATTGTTATGCTCTCTCCCTCCCTCGAACGGATTATTATGCGAAGGTGCTGCGCACAGTGCTGTAAGTTTTAATTCTCTGCGGTGGGAATGTTTGCTCGAGCCGTAGGCTGCGCTTGCTATGAAAGCGTTTTCGAGTTTTATCTGGTTCTTAAGCTTTCCCGACATTATCGAGTGGATTAAATCGGCTGCTAATTGCTGTAAGCTTTGAAAAAAATTTTTTTCGTCAACTTCGTTCTTCGATTAATTTATTTTTTATTCTTTCCAAGCGTGTCTACATCACGCTTTCAAATATACCCCAATCAATTTATTCGTTTTATTTACATTAGTTCTTCGCGTTGGAAATATGCAGGCACTTTCCCACAGTTGAGCTCGAGCCAACGTCATCCAGCACATATCATAAACAAATCCCCTGGCGATCCAATAATCCGACTGCCAGCGCTATTATCGGACATCATAACAAATCTTCTAGACAGCCGGCAATCAAAGCATTCATCTCATAAATCTTGGAGAGCCGTGCTTGATACCCCCATTATCATACGCAATATCGAGAAACTGTCCCACGTATCTGTCGTCACACACTCCAAGTGGGACCATAACTCATACGTCGATAGTCCCTCGACGAGACGAATGTTGAGCAGAAAAAAAAATTAGCCAAACGTATGTATATTGCTTGCGCGCCCTGGTAATCGCATTCGGACGGTGGGCGCGTGTCGGGAATTACGCGCGACGTTCGTGCGATAGATCATTAAGGGTGTATTATGACAAGACACACAGGAGCGCTTCGCGTGGGGTGCGCTTACGCGGTAGTCGCGTGTCGCCTTTACAGCTCGGATAAAAGGCCCGACGAGCATTTCCCTAACAAGGGATCAGACTCGACCGAGCCAACGACGAGATTTCTACCGTGGCCCCGTCAAAGGATGACTCGACGCATGACAATTGTACTTTTCTTTTCCTGCCGACATCATGGCTTTATCTCTCTCTCTCTCTCTCTCTCTCTCTCTCTCTCTTTCTCTCTCACGAGGACTGCGTTGACTTTTCTCTTTCGTTATTTGTTCTTTGTCGATTTATGCTACCGATCAATTTCTGTGATTTTATGGGCTCCATTTTTATTTAGATTGTCTTCGTGGAATGAATTATAACAAATTTCAAAGTCTTATGAGTCTTACCAATCTATGACGTTAAAAAAATTTATTATACGAGAGAAACATTTTATCACTCCGCCCGCGTCAATCGTAGTGTATTTACAACTTCAATTGATTTACTTAATATTGTTTAAAAATAAATATTTATTTTGATATGATTATTATATCGTTTCTTTTAATGAAAGTAATATTTCAATAATATACACATTACATTTTTTATCAAGGGTTAACAAATATTTTCAAAGTTTGAATATATTATGAGGCAAAAGGTATGTATAAAAATATGACAAAGAGATATAAATGTAGTACTTGCATTTAATAGGAATTCTATATTCTATTGTCATTTTTAAATACAAATTGATTATTAAAATAATTATGAATCTTTTAAATGTAAAGTTCCTTGAATTAAAGATAGTTTATCAGCCATATCAAGGGCGGTAGTAGCACCAATTATGTAAATCCTAACTTCTTAATTTTCTTCTATTTTTCTTTTTTAATCAGATTTTTAACGAGCCGTGCTCACCTCGAATCTTTTTTCAAGCTTCTCGTATAGTTTTTATTTGTACTATACTAAACACAACCTCTCTTCATTTAAAATTATAAATATAAACAATATCGAAAAACCGTCAAAGCATTACGCGTGCATTAAATGCTTCGCAATATCCAGTCACTTTTTTTTGAAAAAAGGGCATAACATTAGTACGATTTCAATAATAATTAAAACTTGGTTTAAAGATCTGTCACCTTATGCTATTTAGAATATTATTTTTTTTAAATAGTACTGGTTTTGCACATATAAGTATTGTTTTCGGAAATATTCAAGCAAATTGTTTAGAGTTTCATAAATTTTCGATTCCGCCTTGCTCGGATTTTTGAAAAATACCGTTATATTTGGTTTTTCATCAGATTTATAATGCACAAATAATGTTTGTCGAACATCAAGTTTCAGATATCTTCACTGTAATCATATTTTTGAATGTGTAGTAGTTTTTTCATGATTCGCTTCGAACTTGAGCTCAATAATAAAAACGCTAGCAATGATTGCATCAAACATTCGTAACTTCTTCAGTGTTTTCGTAATTTTTTCAATCATTTCATAAATGACTAGAGGAGAATGGGTAGGTAAGTCGACACCACCAACTATAGCGACCCTCGGCGAAGAAAAAAAGTATAGCGAGACATAGGCCCAGGCAGTAGCTAAATTATTTAAAAAGCTAAGCGACGATTCCCCAGCGCCGCTTGCTCATTGCAGCCTCTCGGGGGAGAAAAGAGAAGAGAAGAGAAGAGAAGAGAAGAGAAGAGGAGAGAAGAGAAGAGAAGAGCGAGGCACGCGCGTTCGTATAATATGCAGATTAAGGGTGTCGCTTGGATCAGATATCCGGCACATTTAATAATGCTGTTCCTGTCAAAACACACGCGCACTCGACCCAACCGAGGGTATAATATAGATAAATCGACTCGTCGTCGGGGGTGAAAACGTCTGTCTCACCCTCTCTCTCTCCACTTTTAATATGGCCGCCGCGATGATATCGGAACCTTCGGTAAACACTCGCGACGAAAGATGATACATATACTCGTACTTCGGCAATCGATTCGTCGCGCTGCCAACGTTATACTGTACATACACAAGTCTCGGCGCTCCGGATACATGATTTCTGAAGAATGTCGTACGTAGGGAGATAGGGGGACCTTTTTGTTTTCGACTAGTCATTGGCGCTATTCTCGGACGTGCTGTTTACTTTTTGTCGAGGGCGATGACGGGCGTGAAATTTCAATTGGGGATACGTGATACTGAGTCGATAAACGATTGTCATACGGTTTTTTTTTTAAGGATGACGATTCAATTTGCAACGAGGCTCCGATCGTTGGACGTCGTTGCCCTCTTACATAGTTCGTTCAGGCACTATTTCATTATTACAGTTGTCGTCTTGAAATACATGTTATCATTGATTTGTATTACGCGGTACTTTACTGGATGTAGTACTTTTCAAGCTGGAGCTCGTGGATTGCGATGCCGAGCATAAATAAAAGTGTTGCGCTGCGCGAATGGAAAGTTTGGCAAACGATTTTCGCGGCAAACTAAGTGGCAGCGTCGGGGCGAGGGG